TTAAATCGGATTAGGTCGGATCCACCTGAGCCGAAAAGACCTCGGTATCCTCTTGGGGATGATAGACATCCGCGCGAATGTCTGATCTCTGTGTCAAGGCGGGACGATTCGAGTGGGTTTCAAATACTCTTTCTTGAATGCACGGTGAGTCAGGAATAAGGGGAAGCGATTAAGAGCGTCGACGATAGGAAGCTCTGCGTAAACGGGGGATTCCCAGCTCGATCATTTGACTCATCGTCACATCGGTGCACTGAGGGAGGTATTTGATTGATTGATGATTGATTTTATTTCGATCTTCCATATGCGTATATATATGGTCCCTTTCATTTCAGGGGTGAATTTTTTTGCATTCACAGATCATTCATCCGCCCACTTCGTCAAGATATTTTTCGTCTTCCTTAGATCATTCGCGGTAGTACCAGGGTGAAGTCCAAGTCGGTGCGAATATTCTTGTGGGTCGAATCTTCCTTCCTCGCATTCCAGAACGATGTGGGTGTCTGTCTCTGGGGCTCCGCATTTGGGGCAGCTTTCGTCGATCGAAGGGTCTCGGGCATGTTGTCGACTCCTGGTGTTGAGCATTCCTGCTCTTGCAAGCGCCAAGAGTCGGCTGCCTCGCGTGTTGTCGTATATATTCCTCTCAAGACCCCTTTTGTCTTTGAATTGTCGATATATACGTAATGTGGTTTTGGTGACCATGTTCTGTCGCCATAAGTCATCCAGTTTTTTCCGCACCCTTGCTTTGAGCTCTTTGCGAAATACGTTCCACATTTTTGTCCGGATGTACTATTCGGGGGCTCGAGTTGCTCCAGGCCGAACTGCATTCTCAATTTTTTGAGTCTCTCTACTGCAGTTACCCTAGCTTTGGTCAACTCTATGGCAGTGAGGATACGTCTGGGCCAGCGTTTTTGGTCCATATGTTTCACTCTCTCGAAATACATCGTTTTGCTCGTGGCCTCTCTTGCCTCGAAGGAACTCCATCCGAGTTCGCCTTCGATAAACTCCTTCGAAATTGTGGAGTGTGGTATGCCGAGGGCCCACCTTCCCGCATCTCTCTGCCTGACTTCGATAAGGTTTCTCAGTCTCTTCGGCATAGTTATTGTTGCGTTGCAATAGGTTAGTTGCGGTACTGCCGTGGCTTTCCAGAGAATTTTGGATACTTCGAATCTATTGAAGCTCCATAACGTTCTCGCGTTGAGTCTTTGGATTGCCTTGTTCGCCGTCCTGGTTACCTTCTCCCAGTGTTGTGATAGGTAGTCCCTTTCGGCCGATAACTCGATTCCCAGATATTTGTAGGATTCTACTTCTGGGATCTGCCTCCCCTGTATCGTGAGGCCCTGATCGTGCATATGTGTTGAGGGCGGTCGAGAGAAGACTATCACTCCGCTCTTCTGGGGATTGAATTTGATGGACCGTTGTCGCCAAACTTGGATGTTATCTCCAGAAGAGCTCTCATATCGCCGATCTTGTTTGCCATCAGACATAGGTCGTCAGCAAAGAGTAGTCCGGGGATCGTAAAGAATTTGTTCTCCTTTACATCCCAGAAATTGCCCTTTTTCGCAAATCTGAACCCCAGTCCCGTTTCCAGGAGCTGTTTTTCGAGGTCTGCGATGTATAGGCTGAAGAGGATGGGAGATAGGGGACACCCTTGCCGAAGTCCAATATGGATGGATACTTCCTCCGAGGTGTACTCACCGTGTCGTACGAAGATACAGGTTTCCTCGTACAGGTGTTTCAAGAGTTCGATTATTGACGGACTCATGCCTCTCTCCTCCAATGTTTGCCACAGTTTCCTTCGATCTATTCGATCGTATGCTTTTGTGGCGTCCAGAAACACGCAAATCAGGCCCGTCTTTTGTGCTCTTGCGATTTCTATCGCGGATGTTAGGATAAAAATGTTATCCTCGCCCCGGCGGTCTTTTCTGAACCCATTCTGCATCTCCGAGAGCTGTTCCGTATCTTCCGCCCATTGTTGTATGTGTTTCCCCAATATTTTTGTGAAAACTCTGTACAGGACGTCAGATACACAGATCGGTCTGTAAGTGGTGCGATCGCCCTGTCACTTGACGATCAAGACTGGGCGCGTGGGACCACAAGATCGCCGCTATCGCCCACACCGATTGATGTCTTCAGCGAGTGCGTTTATCGTAGGAAATCATATCGTCCCCTGCGCAGCTCCCTCCAATTGTGAGGAAGTTCCGCTTAATAGATTCTACAATAAGATTTTAGCGGACTGTCACAAGACTCCCATTGAAAATGGCTGCCACCCGTTGTCAGAAGTCGATGAGGGACAATCAACTTCCCAATGAAGGTTTTCCGCTGGTAGGAGCCCTCGGACTTCGGCGGGAAAACTTGTCGGTGGCCGTTGTTCGAGATAGACGGTGTGTTTCGTCTGCTCGTACTCATCTGATTCAATATACCGATGTCCGATCGCAAGTTTTTCGGTCTCGGTATTCAGGAGTAGCGTCTGTATCGACGGATAATACGACAGCTTGCAGTTTTCGGAATGAATGTTGCAATCCAATCGACCCGATCGGGAGCCCGCATGATAACTGCGGGCTGATGAGACCATAACTAGGAACCCAGACATTTAATTCACATCATTCTGATGGACTTGTCAATCTATACCCAGGCAGGTACACAGACTTCATAAACACAGTTGGGGACGCACGGATTAATGAAGGCGGTCGCCTCGGAATGGATGAAGAGTCAGTTGCGAGCTCGGTAGTTCTCGGAAACGTCAAACTATGTTCATATAGGGATGCAGTTGATGATCACATGAAAGATGATCCGGCGGAGCGAAGCCTATCAGTAGACATCGATTCGCCTGGAGAGGTGGAGCTTACACGATCGGTGTCATTTTCAGCTCGTTCAGATTTGCACTATTTTCTGGTCCGCGGTGGATTCATGTTCCTTCTTCGATCAGCTCGCAGGTAGAATAAGGGATTTGTCGCTACACCCATTATCTATTTGCTGATGCTCTTCTCGAGTCCACATGATAAACGACGTTCCGGCACCGCATACCGAAGTTTCCAAGTTATCGTCGACGACTTTTCCTTTTTGATCACGAAATCGATGCTAGAGCGACATCAAATCTCCTCGGTACAGCTTTTCTCGAAATTCTACTTTCGGAGCGACTTTCGCGGGCAGCCCATGAGGATCTCCTCGAGGCGGCTCCATAATTGAATAGGAGCATTCCCCCCATGATATCAATGCAAGCTCATTTTCTTCATTATCGAGTCGACAATACCCAATCATTCATACGGAACCACTCGTAGCGCTTGAATCAACATGGGAAATGAAATAGAGTGTATAATCAAAGAAAACAACCGCCTCCCCATTTTCCCACTCTAATAAGGGTTCGGGACAAGCTGGTCATCAGCGTCGCTCCACACATTTATTACACTCACTCTTGGAACAACGGTTACTAAATCGATGAACTGCATTGTACAAGAAACGTGGACCGAAGATAATATGAGGTGGATGTCCTTCTCGAGCCCTCTCGCCGCCCAAACCCGAAGCTCGCCGTCCCTGAGTACGGGAGCGATTTCTCAGGTTTCGATCAGGTTATCGTGAGGGATTGCCGTCATTGATGAGCATGGAAGTAAGAAGAGGATATTCCTTCCGAATCGCCTTGACAGCTGTTGTCGCGGTGCTCGTCCCCTCAGGAATTCGATCGAATCGTGTAGTGAATTTAATTACGATCTTGAAACCATGGGTCTCTCGTTCTGCTGTCAGAATTTGTTGAGAGCGTTCAATACACTAGACTCGTCGCGAGATGAGGACCCTCATCTCCATGGCTCCGAAGCATCCCTCTTCCGCCCTTTGCTTTCGAGGAGGATGAGACTGTTGACTTGGAGCAATTCTCCTCGGGTCCACGGGAAGAATACTCACTGACAGCCGAGGGGCTGAGGCGTTTTTGGAAACTTGGAACGTGCGTCACTCTCCGTGTCTTCCACTCGTGAGTTTCACTCAGGAGCCGTTGCCGCTCCTTCGTACAAAGGAGGGGCAGCATCTCTTCGGGCTGCCCGATGCGCATAAGCACCTGAAAACATTCACGCGGAGTCGAAACCTCGCGACTTCCTCTATCCTCGGACAAGAAGTCTCTGCTCGTCACTTCGTTGTTTTCCCTGCTCCTTCGTTCTTCACCCACCCAATGCTCCGCCCCGATCGCGGAATCTTCAGCTCGAGAACAGAAGCTCTGCAAATCCGGATTCAGACAGATTCTCTCATCCAGCTGTATTGATCGAGCCATGGGAGATAATGGAAGTATGTGGTAATTGTGTATTCACGATCTTGTTCCGCCGATGAATCCGTACGATAACAGGGCGACCCCTCTTTCGACCAACGCATTTTCCCGCGACAGAGTGCCAGTGAAACCGACGCTTTCCTCTGAGACCCTCTCTGATCTCCCTTTCCACGACGAGAGTCAACACAGCCTCGTGGAGTGTCCAGAGAAGCCGGTCGAATCGCGCGGAGTCCACAGTGTGACCATGACAGTCAATAGTTGAGAACTATCTCTGATCGGTAGAGCTGCGTATCCGATATCAGTCATATTCGCATTTGTGCCGATCAGTGGCCGGCCACACCGGTGGAAAGAGCGGCGAATCCTCTCCTTTTGTAGTATGTTCTGACCATCGGGAAGGACTCGGTCCGAGCGTGCACCTTCCGTGGTTGCCATCACCGGGAACGACGTCAACGATTAAAGCGAATTGACAGAAAACTGGATCTTGAGCCCGGGGTTGCGTTCGTGAAGTGAGATTAAGTGCGTGAAACTGTTCATCGACGATCGCTGCCCGCCCAGACCCAAAGTGCAATCGGATGGGACCAATATTCGGCAGTGCCGCCCGACTTTGAACAATCGCCCACCCAGCCGGCCACACTCCTAGCAGTTTGAGAAGCGCGCCCGGATCTCTGGCCGCTCGCGGGATCGTTTGAGTTCTGATGATGTGAATTGAAATCAGGAAAGGTACGGACATGCGTTGCTGTCCTAGCGTGCGACCATGCCACATCAGCGAATTCCGTTCATCGACGATATGGAAGCCTCCGCTCCGCCGTCGAAATCAGTAAGCGTGGATGTCGTCGGAAGCCCCCCGAAACGAGCCCCTCTACGTCGTCAGCCGACGGTCGACGACACCGACGGTGACGTTCGCGACTCGCCCGATGAAGTCGTTCGATTCCATGACACGGGAGCGAGCTCCCCCGAGCATCCGCGGAGGAAGTTCTTCCGAAAACTTCGGCTGTTCAAAATGCCGGCCCGGAGAGTGGATTCGTCCACGTCGGAAGAAGAGGCCCGCACCCCATTGCAAGGATCCAGTTTTCATTTCACTCGATCTATTCTATCGGGGAAAAGTAGCAACGAATCGAACCTCACGCAGAAGACAAGACTGCCGACCTCGGATTCAGAATGGGAGGACGAGCGGAAAATGTCTATCAAGAACGGCGTCGGTCAGAAAGCCCCCGTCGTCCAGAAATCATCGCTGAAAAAGAATCCATCAAACTCCGATCGTAACGGACAAGAAAGACCGCCGAAAGTGAGCAAGAAGCAAATTGAGGAATTCTTAGATGAGCTGTCGTCGGGCTCTTATCATTCGAGCGAACGACCGTCACAAATATTTTTCAACAATAAGGCGACGGGACGCACCTACCGCTCTCAGTCGGTGTTCTCGGCCGACCCTTCGTCGCCGTACTACGTTTCGAAAGGAGTTGAAAGCAACGATAACGTCAGACGCTCGCCAAGTGTGTCCTGCGTTCTCGAGATCCTTCGACGGGAACAACGCGAAGCCGAGCTGAAAGGAATTGTGATCCCGCCTGGAATATCGCTAGCTGCATTCGATAAGCCGAAAGTCAGCACCATCAGACAGCACTACTATCCCGAAGGCGGCTGGGGCTGGGTGATATGTTCGATAGCCGTCTTCATTCATTTTCTCGTCTACGGAATTTACTGGTCCTTCCCGTTGCTCATTCTCCGGATCAGGAATCAGTTCAAGTACACAGTGGAAATCTTCCCTTCAGGTGAGCTCCAACCCGGCTCGGAAATTTTTTTTTCTTAATTTCCCGCTCATCGTTTGACTCGACTAGCGATTGTGTCTTCCGCCCTGTGTAGAGATCGGTCGCTTCCAGGAGCATTGAGCTCGAATGTGGTGGCACCTGCGTCCCATGGGCCCCGCAACAGCTGTGTTTCTCGACAGACAGAGCTTCCGACTCGAGACGACAACGGAATCCGAGTCTCCCAATAGATTCTCCAAGAGCCGTTGGACGTTCCCGCACCGGGATGCGGTGGATCCGAGCGGCGTACCGAAGAGCGAGAAGTGTCCGGAGGACGAAATATCGCCCTGTCGGGTGGTCTCGAACCCCCTATAGTGGAGCTCGAGAAATTGACGTGACCCAAGAGAACACACCCCGGCGGTCAGGAGCTACCTAGTGCGTTAGAGAATCTCTTTCATGATTGCTGCCGGACTTCGCTCCCGTCAGAACGGGAGCCGAGTTTGGATGGAGGGAACGAGCACCAAATATTAGCATAATCACGAGGGGAAAGGCGTCTCGCGATGCGGTGTCTGCTGCTTCCCTCATTATATATCGGGCACTAGCCCCAAATAGGGACTCGTATCAAATTTGAGGAATGAGCTTCGACGGGATCTCTCGACTCACAATCGGTCTGATAGGAACATGAACTCTGTCATTGTTGCATCAAGCTCGGAAAATGCGATCCGAAGCTCCCAACTTAATTAAATCGTGCTACCAATAATCATTCGGAACCGACAATCGCTGGTGGACGCGCAATGGAGGAACGGCTGATTCCAATGTACCTGTCGATTCCGTCCGGTGAGTGGTGCGCTGCCGATCGCAACATGATATATGCAGCTGGGTACGGCCCGACAAACGTAACTCTTTTTCGCCGGCCGTGCTCATTAAAAAACTGAATGAATCGATTGCGCTCTTTCGTTCGCGAGCCGGCAGACGCTTCTTTAAACCTGCGTTTCAGTCAAATCAGTTCCTGACTCCGGCCGACGAAGTGTTGCCGGCGCTAGATTATGGCGGCGATGCCCATGCCTCCGTCGTTAACCAATGTCTCAGTGCGTCAAACACTGTTCCATTCTTCGATCCAGAAAATATCGCCTCGGGCGCTAAAAACCGGGTTTTCATTTCTTTCCGCCGCCGCCGGTCAGCTTCGGTTTATTCTTCGCGAACAAAATGGTTAAGCTGGCCTCGTGAAACGGATCCGTCGATCTTTTGTGCCTCTAGTGTTCATTACCATTTTCCGCGGAGTCCGATTAAGTCGTCGGAGTCGACATCGATTTCTATCTCCGAAATGGCAAATCCAGGAGGCTATAGCGTCGGGACCCGATCTCTCGTTTTAAAAGCGCTCGCCCGTCAAACGACATAATCACAAATAGTTTCGATTTTCCTTATTCGTCAACACCGCTTTATTGACTCGACTATTATAATACTCCGAACGAAAAATCGATATTCCTCCCATCATTCTCCCCAACGACGGAACTTGCTTCTGGGTGACGCCAGCGGGAGCCGATGGGCTGTAGACCGAAAGGCCTGAAAACGGAAGCTGCCGCTGCGAGACGTTCAGACGAGGCTACTCACGGAGATGTAAGATCCGTCTCGGACCGAGAACGATTGAGATGGGCTCGTCCACGGAATGAACAGATTTCGAGCGCCGATGCAGACTCGGCTCTCGAAGTGCTTACCCTCGATGGAGAAGAATTCAGGGGGGAACGGATAACGCAGGAATCGCAATCCGATACGCTTAAGCAGAGCGGGGCGAAACTCGGTGATGGAGAGAGTCTCCGAGGTCCGATATCTGCGATTCGCATTTCGCCAATTGATGGCCGCTGCTGTCGCCAGGGATAGACTGGGTCTCGTTCCTGCTTCTCGGAATGTCTTTGCATGTCTGCCATCGCAGCCACAGAGTTGCTGTCAAGGCTCCAATGAGTGTGACCCGATGTCACTGAGGCTGCAATACAATTCTGCGGCTCTCGAGGAGCAGTGGGCCCTGCTACCACGGCCACGAAGCTCGAACTGGGACCTCATCGCGATCGATTGTTTGAGGGAAGGGCTTCCCGAGTGTTCAGATCAGCAACCTCGTCTCTAATTTTCGTGGAGAGATGTATCGAGCAAGTCTATTTTCTGTGATTAAGGGTATTCCTACTTCTCGTCCTGGACGATCAGATATTTTCCGATCAAGTACGTATTTCGGTATCCCCGCATCAGAGCGAGGAACTTCTTTGTACCGTTCTCGGAGAATAGAGTCGTTTTCAATCTCTGACGCTACCAGGATATCTCCCGGGATAGCGGAAAGTTTTTATTCGAACATCGGCATCGACTGGGAGTCGAGCAGGATAGAGCGCGGCAGAGCTCCTCCTGAAACTTTGACGACTTCCATCCTGCTCCCGAGTTGTTCCTCCGTGTTTCTCCAGACCAGGCTCTGGAAGACGAAGTCAGTGACCAGCAGCTCCCTTTCTACACAGAATCGAAAGAAAAATATTCGATTCCACTATCCTCGGCTCTCCCAAGTGAATTCCATGCTCCGCCCCTTGATTCCCCAAGACGGGAGCAAACCCGAATACTTGGATGAATTACCGATGCTCGCCGTCGAGTGAGAACGAGCCATGTACATAGGTGTGGCTGGAAGTTCTCTCCCGAGTCATTCCCTGTCTGACTCGGGACAGAGATCGAGGGAACGATCGCAGGAGATTTCCCGAGTCGAGATCAAACGACGAGACAGGTCTCGCGCCATCGAAACCTTGTCTGGGTACCGTCTCTGTCTCTCTGTCTGGTTCTGCTCCCTTGCGACTGGCACGATTCGTATAGAAGAGACAGCAGCGAGGCCTCCGGTGACGGACATCGAGTAGACTCATTGATGAGAGCGTCAGAGATGACGAATGCCATCGAATCTGCTGATAACGATTGTTCAATCTCGCAATGAGTGATCATGAATCATGAGCTTGTGAAGCTAAATTTCGCTCGGTACGCTAACTCCGGAGGGCTTCCAAACTTCCACCGGACTTGAGGATTCCATGTAACTCTCCGATTTCCGAATTCCTCTCTTTCGGGACGAATTCCGGAACACGGTCTGCGCTCCTACAATTCATTTCGCTCGATGCCAATTTCTTTTCTGCATTCCCTCTCCGAGAACATCGTGGGATTCCGGCCACGGCAGAGCAGACAAGAAATTACCGAAGAAAGCGCCAATCGAACGAGATCTTTTTCAACACCGTGTGGAAGTGCGTCCGAAGGGTGAAGGAAAAATTCTCGACATTAATCTTCATGTGATCGGAAAACGCTTCACCTGGTGCGCTTCGGACTTCGCGGCGGCCGCATGGCGATTCCCAAACCCGACTCTTGCTTATATTTCATTGAGTTATCATCAGCCACGGGCAATCAGAATCCGGGAGTCATTCAAAGGTGCCAAGGCATGATTTATGGAGTCTCTCATCGAGTAGGGTGCTATCACCTCTCGACAGAACAAATTTAGCGGCTCGCGAGTAGCACTTCAAATCCGTGGGACGGTATCAGCCATTGACAGGAGTATGAAGTTTTCACGACCAGGTTCAATTGCTAAATCAATTCTGAGACATCAAGAACGCGAGAGATCTGAGGATACAATGCGGGGGTGTTCTCCTTCCTCTGCCAGGGGATGCGGCTCACGATTGCTGTATCCAGTGTTCCGAGAGAGGAGGCTTTATTTCACTCGAGGGCAATCGGAATTGCGTTGCGTATGAATGCCTTCATGGGCGAGATGGCCTCATATAAGTTTTTATGGTCTCTTTCACTGCTACCGATGGCGCGAACGCTATCTTCTCGTGACACACGGTTAATGCATCTGTTTACGGTTGCTGATGACGGCATCCAATCGAGATAATTGATGTTCACAATGCCCCACGTCATGTGGTCGTTTTCATTATATTAGGAAGGCCCTCCCGAATCGAATTATTGGTCTACACTTGTTCGGTGCAATGGGCATTCCTCCGTTCGGGGTTCGGAATTCGCTCAAGACTGGAAGCTCGACATACATACATGAGCAAAAAAAAGATCATGGCTGAGAGTAACCCTTGAGAAATTTCATAACCCTCGCCCAATCTGGAAACTCATGCTGTTTTCCGAATCGGCAGAGGACTCTCTTCGACGGTGCTTTATCAGGCCGACCGTAAACGATTGGTTCCGCTGTCTGTGGTCGATATCGGCGGAACAGGTAAAGGACAGTCATTATATCGCGACTACGATGCTCCCGCGCGCATCCGCCGCTTCATTTAAATGCAAAGGGGAGGCTCGAAACCGGCCTCACTCCGGCACTAATTGTAATTGATGTTTTCGTGACCGTTGGAGTGAAAATTCGCATCGAGAGTCCACCGAACGTTGTGTAATAGAAGAAAATACACAGAAGAAGACACTATCGGAGGTTCTCGTTCTGCGACCGCATCTGATCTTGTCGGGGGGCGGACTGGAATCTCTCCCCACCGCGTAATCGATTCGATGATTTTTCTCTATTCTTCGTAGGTATAGAAGTCGGAGCCTCGACTGAGCATTGAACCACGCTTGGCCTCCACGCCTAGGCGCGAGGTGGAGACCATCGCCAGCACGCAGCGGAGCCATATACACGGCAGTCGGCACAGTGTGAATGAAGCGCCATCGATCGGGCACGCCGTCTCGCGTTGCGATTGTTCGCAATGTTTTCGTTGTGAAACGCATACATATGCCGGGCATCTGTTTGGGTTTCTGATGACAGTCTCGGCGTATGCAAAAAGAGAGCACCGACACCGGCGACATCGACACCCTCAACAGTCTTGCGCGTATCGCGAGAACAAGGAACACCATTTTGTTTGGACGACTGCCAAGTCATCTTTATCGGTTGTTCATCTATGGCACGATCGAAATAAGCATCACTTTTTCTCACCCTATTTTCACGCCTCCTCTCTCTCTGTTGCTGTGGAGCTCATGGCTCCGCTCTCACTTTAATTGACACACAACTGACTTCCGTAACACGTTCGAAAGCAGCTTCT